TGTGACTAAATCCACATCTAAGACGATCACATGTAATCCAAGCTGTGCAGGCACAAGCCATCACCTGTTTTATTGCAAGGAAGGGGCCTCCTGGCTCTTCCTGCGTGTCTCCCAGGTGCCTCTGCACAGGTTCTTAGGAACAGGTCCCATGTGTGTGCTCTGCACCAACCACTTTGCCTGGCCACTGCTACCGGCAACCTCAGGAGACTGCTGGGCTTGGCAGCCCACTGCTGGTGAAGGCTCCTACTAGGAGCATCCTGGTCTTGGGGCTGGGAGAAGCCAACTTCATTCATAGCCCAGCAGAAACCAGATTTGAACTTTTAATGAAACTTTCTTGAAAATTTGAGGATAATGTGTTAGTTTCCTGTAGCTGCCATAACAAAGTGCCACAAACTTGGAGGCTTAAAACAAGATAAATTTGTTCACAGTTCTGGAAGCCAGAAGCCTGAAATCAAAGTGTCAGAAGGGCCCTGCTTTCTCGGAAGGCACTAGGAAAGGACATTTCCTCGCCTCTTCCAGGTTCAGGTAGCCCCAGGAGTTCCTTAGCTTAAGGCAACATCACTCCAGTCTCCGCCTTGGTCTTCACGTTGACCATCCCTTGCGTGTCTATGTCTCCTCTTATGAGGACACTAGTCATACTGGATTGGCCCAGCCTACTCCAATATGATCTCATCTCAACTAGTGACATCTGCAATGGCCTATTTCCAAATAAGGTCACATTCTGAAAGGGCAGGACTTCAACATATCTTTTGGCGGGGAACACAATTCAACCTGTAACAGTTGAGAACAATTTACAACTACTGTATAACCCCAGATCTGTCCTCAGAGTTCTCTGCTGAGCCGACCCTCTCTCAAACATGGCCTCCCTCCATGGACTCAGGGCTGGCTTACTCCACTTTCCCCCTTCTGAGAGCACTCCATGCAACTCCATACCTCAGGATTCAGACTAGACTGATCCCCTATGTCATTGAGGGAGGGCAGGATTTTCCTTCCTCCCAGTGAAATTCAGGGGATTCACCTTTCCCAGGATGGCTTTCATCCTACAATGCTGAAGACAGGACAGTCAACTCCCCACCAAGGAAACCCCTCTCCCATCCACAAAGGTTCTGCCCCTTTGACTTCAGTAAGATGACCACACAATAGAAGAACCTTAGCACGCAGGTTTGATTTTGAATGATACCGATGTGAGACATAACAGTTCAGTCTGCTTTGGCTTATGCCAAGATCAAAAGGAGTCTGGTTCTTCTCCATTCTTCCCTCATTAAATATTTTTAAAAACCAAACCACAAAACTCCTTAATGTCTACTTTCATTGGGGTCACCATTTTCCATGTAAAAGAATGTCCTTTTGGTAAAAACAATCATAGCAGTGGTTTTTTACTCTGATCTTAGTGTAACTCAATGGTGGGGGGAAAAAGTTTTGTATTTTATCTCTGGGACGTAAAAAAAACGTGTTGGAACTAGAAATCAGATATTGGGCTTGGAAATGCTCATAGAAAGTTAATACAAACCCCGTATCAGACGTCCAAATTTCAAAGAACTTCCATAGCCACCAGCCGTCAGAGGTGTAGGTCAGCAGAGACCCTTCTGGACAATCTACATGCTTAGCATGAGCTCCTCACTCAAGGGATGATGGGAATTAACAGAACTGATGATGTTCTCTTTCTGGAAACTTAACGGAAGACACATGGTTCTTAGTTCACAGGGAAAGGGAACAGAAGTGGAAGTACACACAGAGGAGGCAGCAGGCTTAGGCCTCGAGGAGCAGTCCCGAACAAGCAGGGCCTGCTGAGGAGAAGCTGACTGGTGGCAGCAGACCTTCCTGCTGCTGCAAAGTCCAAGGTGACCGAGTTAGCCACCAATAAGGGAGCTACTTTGAATACAAAAGCAAGTCCATTTCTTCCGACCCTGTTCCCGTCTGGTTGCAGTCAAGTATTTCCATGTGAATTCAGACTGAGTCCCTACTATTTTAGCTAATCTGAGCCATTTCTTTTTTTTTTTTAAGACAAGGTCTCCCTTTGTCACCCAGACTGAAAGTGCTGTGGCGCCATCTCAGCTCACTGCAGCCTCGACCTCCTGGGCTCAAGTGATCCCGCCACCTCAGCCCTCCAAGTAGCTGGGACTACAGGCACGCGCCACCACGTCCGGCTAATTTTTTTGTATTTTTTATAGAAACAGCTTTTCTCCATGTTCCCCAGGCTGGCTAAGTCATTGTTTAAACGAAACAAATTCTCCCCACTCTGGAATAAAAGAATCTTCTAAACCTCTGGATCCTACATTAAAGGGCTTGAAGATAGCAACTGGAACTTTTTTTTTTTTTTTTTTTTTAAGACAGAGTCTCGCTGTTTCACCCAGGCTGGAGTGCAGTGGCGCTATCTTGGTTCACTGCAACCTCCGCCTACCAGTTTCAAGCAATTCTGCTGCCTCAGCCTCCCGAGTAGCTGGGATTACAGGTGCCCACCTAATTTTTGTATTTTTAGTAGAGACAGGGCTCTACTAAATTTTGCATGCCTGGCTAATTTTTGTATTTTTAGTAGAGACGGGGTTTCACCATGTTGGCCAGGCTGGTCTCAAACTCCTGACCTCGTGATCCACCTGCCTCGACCTCCCAAAGTGCTGGGATTACAGGCGTGAGCCACCGAGCCCGGCCTGGAAAACTTCTTGAATGAGTTTGTCCTTTACGACTGTGCTTCACATCTGGATTACCAATATTCTCAGGCTAGAGTGGTGCTTTCAAACTTTTTGAAGCAGCCCATGGTAAGAAACTTTACAATGAGGCCGGTGCAGTGGCTCACACCTGTAATCTCAGCACTTTGGGAGGCCGAGGTAGGCAGGTCATGAGGTCAAGAGGTCAAGACCATTCTGGCCAACATGGTGAAACCCCGTCTCTATTAAAAATACAAAAATTAGCTGGGCGTGGTGGTGTGCGCCTGTAGTCCCAGCTACTCGGGAGGCTGAGGCAGGAGAATTGCCTGAACACGGGAGGTGGAGGTTGCAGTAAGCCGAGATCACGCCACTGCACTCCAGACTGGCGACAGAGCGAGACTCCGTCTCAAAAAAAAAAAAAAAAAGGAAACTTTACAATGAATCCCAACATACAATAATACATATATAGCATATCTATAAATATATATACCGACGCATGCACTTACACACACTTACCCTTACTCGTTTTTTTAGCTCACCACTGTACTAATGAGGACACATACTTACCCTTACTATTCATAATGCAGTTTTCTATTCTGTTCTATTTTTTTTTAAAAAGGTGAAACTAAACTGATTTGATAATGCAAGGAGTTTAGTAGCATCTGTTCAAAAACACTGTGGTGAGGATATCCGAATCCACAGGATAAAAACGACACATTTTACAGGAGAGTACAATTTAAGACCTTTAGTTTTAAAACACTTAAAATAACTGTAGCGTAAACCTCAACATTTCATGAAAACATAGAACTTCCAGACATTGATCACTTCCGGCTGGCTGCCTGGGGTTTCCATCTGTAGATCCCCAAGGACAAGAATGCACACCCCAGCCCCTATCGGATGCTTCCGTGGGAAAGCTGGAGGGAGTCGCTCTTGGGCTGGGTGTTCCAATTCGACTCCAGTCACCTCTAAACCTTCCTACGCTGGAATACAAGGCCTGCTACTCAGTTTCCCTGGGCTTCATTCCTCCCTACCGATCACTGGGAAAGGGCGAAGGGCCATGCCCGGCCTCTGCAGGTCCCCACTGCCAAACAGCCTCGGCAGAATAGGGGCGGGTTCCCCGGCACGGCGGAGCCTCTGCTAACTCGGCAAGTGCCAAGCCCACCAGCAGCCACCACTCCGGGCCTGCCTGGAGGCTCGTCCCTCAACGGCACCTGCGTTCCCGGCCCGGATTCTCTTCCCGCGCCCCTCTGCACTGCACCCCTGGGAAGGCTGTGCCCACACCGCGGCCCGAGGCGTTCCTGGCACCCGGCTCCGGCCTGCCCGCCGCACCAGCCGCCCTGGCGCTGGCGGAGAACCGGCTTCCCGCCCCGGCGTTGTTCCAGGATGTGCGCCGAGCTCCGCGCGAAGCGAAGCAGACACCAGAACTGACGAGGCTCGCCCTGTTTTTAATGAAATTCCTAACACTTTGAATTAACGCAGACTCCATGCTTCCCACAGTCCTTCGGCCGTGGGTGACGCTTAGTCACCACTACATCCTCAAACCCAGACACGAACGCTAACGCAGCTCAAGGGGAATTTTCAAAAAAGCCCCGAGGGAGGAGCTAGCCCAACCACCGCCCGCCCCGGCCACGAGCCTCGCGCCCTTCACGGGATCAGCGGGCGCGAACCCGCCAACCGCTCAGCTTATCACCAATCACCGCACCTCCCACCTATTGCCCCGCCCTGCGCTCCGTTCCGGCCAATCACCGGGGAGCCACCGTTTGTCTCTCCGCCTCTCCCGCCCGCCCCCAACCGGTTGGAAGTTTGAAGCCTTCAAACCTCGCCGGCGCCCAACCGCGCTGTAGCAGCGCGGTGTATTTTTAGCTCCTGGGTGGCCAGCCCCGCCTCCTCCGCCCCGCCTCCTTGCCTCCCCCAATGGGAGATGGAGTTTCTGACACGTCATCGCGCGGCTGTGCAGGTGCCGTCCAATCGGCGCTCCGGGAGAATGGCGTAATTAAAAAGCGGCGGAAGAAGGTGGGAGGGTCATGACGCAGCGAGTTTCAGTCGTGACTTTTCTGGGGGCATCGCGGCGTCCCCTTTTTTTGCCTTTAAAGTAAAACGTCGCCCCGACGCACCCCCGCGTATTTCGAGGGGGCGGAGGCGGCGGGCCGCGGCGCGAGGAGGGGCGGTGCTGACGCCGGCCGGTCACGTGGGTGTGTTGTGGGGGGAGGGGCGCCGCCGCGCGGTCGGTTCCGGGCGGTTGGGAGCGCGCGAGCGAGCGAGCGAGCGAGCTAGAGGCAGCCGCGCCCGCCGCCGCCCCTGCTCTGTATGCCGCTCTCCCCCGGCGCGGCCGCCGCCGATCGCAGCAGCAGGAGCCGCCGCCGCCGCGGTTGATGTGGTTGGGCCGGGGCTGAGGAGGCCGCCAAGATGCCGCAGTCCAAGTCCCGGAAGATCGCGATCCTGGGCTACCGGTCTGTGGGTGAGTGGCCGGTGGTCGCGCGGCCTCCTCGCGCCGCCGGGGCCTCGCCTGGAAGCCGGGTCGCTGCCGGGCCTGCGAAGTTTGGAGCCGGCGCGGCCATGTGGCGGGGCGGGCGGGGGCCGCGCGTTTCGTAACCACCATTTTGAGCGGAGGTGGTGGCGGTCGGGGCGGCGTCCGCACCGGTCGAGGAGCTGCGGTAGCCGGGCGCCCTCCGCGGGCCGGGCGGGCAGGTGGCGGCCGGGCGGAGGGCGTGGGAGGCGCGGGGCGGGGGCCGCCGGCCGCCGAGGAGTCCGGGGCTCGTCTGGGGAAATGAGGCGGCGCCAGGGAGCCGCGCTAGAGGCTCCCGCGAGGAAGGAGTCACACCTGCCTCCCCGCCTTCGCCGCGGGCGCGCGTGACCGGGGCTGGCGGTCTCCCCCACCCCGCCCCCGATGCAAGGAAAAGAAAGTCCGTGGGATTTTAACAAAGGAAGCAGCACCTCGGCTTCATTCCATCTGTGGTGAAGTTTACCCTTGTAAAGAAAACTAGGGACTTAGAGAACGTTTGGTCTCTGGACGCAAGTTTTGTACATAGGAAACCTAGGCGAGCCCCCAAAAGAGGCCCCTCTGGAGGCCCCGGAGATGCTGCTGGCGGCCCGGGTAGGAAGGCAGAGAAAAAGGAATGTGTGATCTCTCAGTGGCCTATATTTCTTCGGGAAGGAATAAGGTCAGGTACTTGCAACCACGCTGTTGAAGTAATTCCGAAGTCTTTTTGTTTTCTTTTTCTTCCCCCAAAAGGTTGACGTACATTTGAAACGGTTCCTAGCGTCGCCTTACTGCTGAATAAGGTGGCTTAGGGTCGGGTTGGGGGGCGGACGGGGTGTCACAGAACAAGCGGTTTTCTGGCCTGTGAGAAACCGGAGCGATCGAACTTAGACACGCTTCAGGGTGAGGCTGTATTGTCTGCCGACATCCGGAAGCCTGGAGAAATTACGTTCATCTTTTCGGGCTGTTTTGAAGTAACTGTCTATAGAAGACGTGCGCCGGGCCACATTTGGGGGGATGGGGAGGTGAAAGCGAGGGTTCAAAGGCTCCGGTGATTGCGGAACGGGGTGACAGCATGTGTCGTGGGAAGCTTGTACCTGCCAGCCGCTCGCGGGATGCACTCCCCAACTGCGCTTTCCACCGCCGGTGCCAGGGTCTGTGCTCTTTGACCAAGATCAGCCACTGCATGCTTACTCATCCTTTTACCACCTCTCCGTCGAGAGCTGGAGGAAGTCAAGGGCTGAGAGAAGCTTGGCTAGAGATGCGGGGTGCCCAGAGTCGTAGGGGGAACTCTTGTGCGATGCGGTGCTGCAGCCAGGAAGTAACCACGAATCAAATGGAGGGGTTCAAAGTCACTAACTGTTCAAATATCTACATGGAACCTGGGATCCAACCTTTATTGGCAGCCTCAATCCATGCTCTTGTCTCTGTTCTCTTGATTTCCTCCTCTGCATTTTGAGGAGTTGGGAGCGCGAGGTGTCCTGGCTCTTGGGTGAGCCCTCCCTAGTCAGTCAAGTAAGTACTTATTGCCAACTATTTGAAAATAGCCCCTGAATAATCACATTATGGTCAAGTACCTCGGCTACTTGATTTCAACCCAAGAGAACGACCTAAAGATCCTGACTGATTTACCCTTTTAAAATGTTGAAATGGTAGCTCTAGTCTTTGGTAAGCAGGGCTAGTTTTATCACTTTTTGGTGGGTTTTTTTTGTTGTTTTTTTGTTGTTTTGTGTTTTTTTTGCTAAAGAAGTTCCTTGTGTCCAGTTGAAATCCATTCTGTTTTATCTTCCCCTCTATTCAGCTTCCTCCTGAGGACGGAGATGTGACAGGACACCCCTTAGCCGTCTCTTCACAAACATTATTTTAAAGTGCTGCTTGTTAAATACTGTGCTAACTTAGTCTTCGGTGGGTTACAGGGTCACTTTTAGTCCCTATTTTGTGTCTTCAGTATTTCATATTTCTGCAACCTACTCCACTTCTCCATACTTATTTTCAAGCGTAGTCATATTAAACGATTTTGGAGAGGTTAAGTTGCTCCCAATCTTGTATTTGATTTTTTTTTTTGAGACAGAGTTTGGCTCTTGCCACCCAGGCTGGAGTGCAATGGCGCGATCTTGGCTCACTGCATCCTCCACGTCCAGGGCTCAAGCGATTCTCCTGCCTCAGCCTCCAGAGTAGCTGGCACTACAGGCATGCACCACTACACCCGGCTAATTTTGTATTTTTAGTAGAGACAGGTTTCACCACATGGCCAACCCTCAGGCTGGTCTCAAACACCTGACCTCAGGTGGTCCTCCCACCTTGGCCTCCCAAAGTGCTGGGATTATAGGCGTGAACCACCACACCCAGCCCCATTTGATTTTAAAGTGTATTATGAGCCGGGATATTTTGTAGTTTGTGGGGTCTTTTGCAGGGGAAGGAGATTAGGTTTTGCCAGCAGGTTTCGTCTAGTAAGCCACCCTTTTGAGGATTACTCAGCATGCTCACTTCTGGGAGCTTGCAAATGGTGCTATACCAGAGAAATCTGAGCACATGTGTTTCTAGATTGTGGTCTTTTGTGATGCTGAGCTGTTTTCTCCTATATTCTGGGGGTAGAGCCATAGAAAAAGGCTCCACATCTTTCTTAGAATGTTCTCTTAAGTACATTAAACCAGTTTGACTAGTAGGATACTTGTCATTGTGACTTTGTCATGCCACAAACTTTATTTTTAAAGTTGTCTTCAGCTAAAACAACAAAATGCTATGTTTGTTTTACTAGTTGGCTTTCTCTTTTTTTTTTTTTTTTTTTTTTTTTGGAGACAGAGTCTCACTCTGTTACCCAGGCTGGAGCGCAGTGGTGCGATCTCGGCTCACTGCAACCTCTGCCACCTGGGTTCAACCAAGTCTCCTGCCTCAGCCTCCCAAGTAGCTGGGATAACAGGCGCCTGCCACCCCGCCCAACTAAGTTTTGTATTTTTATTAGAGACTGGGTTTCACCATCTTGGCCAGGCTGGTCTTGAACTCCTGACCTCGTGATCCACCTGCCTCGGCCTCCCAAAGTGCTGGGATTACAGGTGTGAGCCACCATGCCCAGCCCTCTACTTGGCTTTCAGGTTTTTGTCAGAACTACCAATAGGGAAAATATAATTTTCAGGTAATCTATACAATTCTCCCTCCCAATCTCCTGTACTTTTCCTGTTCTTTACAATGTTAAAGCTTTTAAGGACATGTGACCTGTAACTCTGGGAGTCTGGCTTTCAGGGAGTGCTTTGTATTAACTGTTCCTGTGGTGGCCAAAAGTACCAGCTCCCTGACATTCCGTTGTCTCTACCACAGCAGAGTAGTCCCGCAATAGGAAGTAACTAAACTTAAGTTAAAATGGTAGTGTTACGTAAACTATCTTCAGTCTGGTACGTGTTTCACTGGGATTTTACCTGTACAGAGAGCTTTGGTAACCTAGTTTACCATTAGACCGTAATCAAAAGCTGGTTGTCATATATAAGCCTCTTATATACGGTTAATAAGAGGGGTGGGATCACAGGCATGTGAAAGATCATAGGGGGAAAATGAAACAGCTTTGTGGTTTGGAAGAAGGCAATTCAGCAAAAGTACTCAAATTATTACTTTGTCAAAATGTTTTAGGTAGTATTTAGAGTCTTCATGAGGAAAGATGTCATTAAATATTTGGTTGTTCCTAGCAGATTCTGACGAACTGTTTATTTTTTAAGTTAACCTATCATTTGATGACACTTTTTATTGAAAAATTGAAAGGCAAAACAATATTTGCTATGTATGAAATCTACCAGTATGTGAAATTGTATATTCAGGTGCTTAATATTCTGATGTTGTATACTTGTGGGTGGGGGTAGTCCTGAAGTGGCCACTTTATATTGAAACTTGAAATTACTGTTTTTCAGTCTTACTCATTGTTCTGCACAAGAGCATAATCCGAATTCAGATTTCTGATTATGACTTTCTAGTGCCAAATGTTATTTTGCTGTCCCTATGGGTTATATCTCTCTGTACTTCATCACCCCAAAAAGAAACTGTACTCATTAGCAGTCACTCTCCATCTTGCTTTCCTATCAGCCCCTGGCAACCACTAATCTTTTTGTTTCTATGAATTTACTTACTCTGGACATTTCATATAAATGAGAACATACATATGTGGTCTTTTGGGTCTGGCATCTTTTACTTAGTATAATGTTTTCAGGTTTTGTCCGTGTTGTAGCATATGTTGCCGCTTCCTGTTTAGTGCTGACTAATATTCCATCATGTGAGCATACCACATTTTTTCTATGCATTTGTCAATTGGATATGTGGGTGGTTTCTCTTTTTTTTTTTTGGCTATTATATTTTATTTATTTACTTTTCTGAGGCAGGGTCTTGCTCTGTTGCCCAGGCTAAAGTGCAGTGGAGCTATCATGGCTCACTGCAGCCTCAACCTCCTGGACTCAAATGATCCTCCCACCTCAGCCTCCCGAGTAGCTAGGACTGCAGGTGTGTGACATCACACCCAGCTAGTTTTTTAATTTTTTTGTAGAGGTGGGAACCTTGCTCTGTTGCCCAAGCTGGTCTTGAACTCTTGACCTTAAGCAGTCCTCTCGCCTCAGTCTCCCAGTGTTGGGATTACAGGTGTGAGCCACCACTTGGAGCGCTACTTTCTGGCTACTAGGAATAATAATGCTTTGAACATTCCTGTACAAGCTTTTATGTAGACATATCTTTTCATTTCTCTTGGGTACATTCCTAGGAGTGGAATTGCTGGGTCGTTATGGTTAACTCCGTGCTAAATGTTTTGGAGAACTGTCAAATTGTTTTCCAAAACAGCTGTACGATTTTATATTCCCATAAGCAGTGTATGAGGGTTTAATTTTCTCCACATTCTCATCAACACTTGTTACTGTCTTTTTCATTTTAGCCATCCTAGTGGGTGTGAAGTAGTATCATAGGTTTTGCAAATAATTTCTTCTGTCTGTGGGTTGTCCTTTTACCTTCTC